AGAGAGAGAGAGAGAGAGAGAGAGAGAGAGAGAGAGAGAGAGAGAGAAGTTGCTGCATGGGCCACCACATACAACAAAGTTGTTATGAATCTGTGACTATATTGCTCAATATAAAATCCATGTTTACATTAGAAAAAGTGCAAAGACACTTGAATGCAGAATAAACAGAATGCAAATATACATATGTAAGGCTCTGGGTTATTTATTTCTTTTACAGATTTTTACTCAAAAATTACCCAGATGTTTTAGGAGGTGCAGATTTGTTAAACTTTTTTTTAATCTAAGCATCCCACATTTGTAGAGTTTGCTGCCGCCTGAGGACACTGCTCAGGACACTTTATAGTAAACTTTATAGACGTCCTGCAGTGAGTAAAGACAAAAATGAAGAAAAAAAACCCCCACCAAACAGCTGCTGATAATGAATGATGGCCCCTAAAAATTCACGACAGTAATACTGCTAATATCTTTATAGCTGGAACTGGGTGTATGTTTGTGTTCACCTGAGCAGGGCAGATGGCCTCACACAGCTTACAGGCAATGCAGCGCTCCTCTCCACTGGGGTAGCGGCGGAGGGCATGCTCTCCTCTGAAGCGGGGTGACAGAGGGCCCTTCTCAAACGGGTAGTTGATGGTGGCGGGTTCACGGAAAAGGTAACTCATAGTCATCGCCAGACCTGCAGGTAGGCGTTCAAAGAGTTGTGACCCACTTTGTTATAATCCTTATTATCAAGAAATTCCATAAAAGGACCAAAACCAACAAAGCATTAGTTTGTCTCTTGATACGTTGTAATGGAGCAACATTTCACCTAATGCTTTGATTCCTTTATGTACTTTGAATCGTTTTGGAGATCTACGAGCTTTGACTACACAGACAATACTTCTTAGTAGGATAAATCAAGTGTTGGCTCACAATAACAGTAATATAGAATAACACTAGGCCTTCGACCCTATGCACAGTATGGGCTTTCTGCATAACAATCACAGTATATGTGACCTCTAAAGAGTTCGGTCCACAGGAGGGTTGTGGCAGCCCGGTCAGTGATGGACCTCAGGTCTGTCGGCAGCTCCTGAGCATTTACATACTCTACAGGGAGAACAGAGGGAGAGGGGAGTGCATGGTTAGATCATTTCAAACAACAGTCCCATGTGGTCACTCCACTGAGAACGCCGTACATGAACAGCTCATGGTTTGTAGCAGTACTTACTGTAGCCATCTCGCTGCACGCTGAGACTGAATGGGCGACAAAGACCGTATCCTAATGTGCCTGGAGACACAAATGAGATGGGATGATGCCTCATTTTGTGCATATAGTTATTGTTTTAATGACACCTCCTGCAGTAGTAGCCTACCTGGCTTTGAATAGCAGTGGAGAAGACGCAGACTCAGTGTAGTAGACATCTGAGCAGAGAAGACAGTGTAAAGTACACTGAAATAGTTTAAACTAATAGGAGGAACTAAACATGCACAAAGTAGAATACAGGAAACCTCCATTGATGCAACCCTCACTGAAAACAAAGGAAGGGACTCAAGAGAGTGAGGGAGGGAGGCTGCCAGTTAACTGCGCACATGCATCCCATGCATCCTCTAATCTTGCGCCCCAAATCCCTACTTTACGTCAGTGGTTTGCTACATTCATGGCACGCTGGAAGAATGGGAAGAACGGGGACACAACCAGTTTATACGGTTTGGGAGCGCTCAAGGGATTATTCTAAGAGTGTTACACCTGTTGTTAGACAGCAGCCACCCCATATAAACGGAAAATAACATAAGATAGACCCGTTTTACTGTGTCGAATATAGGTAGACGTTTGAGGAAGAGAAGTGAAATCAAATATAAACAAACTGCAGCATTTATAGCCTATTCAATTAGCTGAATATGTTTTTGTATAACATGACATTTTGCAGTCGGTTTGTAAGCACGTGTGCAATCCTTTCCGCTAAAATGTCAATCTAGCAAATCGCGTAAATGGTGTAATATGACATTAACGTCTCATTACAAATAAAATAGCAACATTTGGCCTAGTTAGCGTACGTTACACAACGACAGAGTTTCCTTAAACACGTTTGTTTGGTTATTTAATTTAATTTGTTCAGTTATGTTCTTAATACTAACGTGAGACCCCTGATTTGATAAAATACTGTAACCGCGTCGCTCTCCACTCTCATAATAGCATTAAATATTAACATGATACATTTAGCGGAATACGACGAGCTCAATTTACTTATCATGGTTTCTAAAGCCAAAGACTAAAATAATCGTATTGATGACCTCTTACTCGATTTACCTCTGTCACAAGTTTTAAAAAATCAGCTGCAGACAGACAGCGGTCACTGGATTGCGCAATTGTGTTTATGTTGCATTCAGGTGCTCCTCGTTTATTTTTGATCCTCGGTTCGGAAATTTGCAATATATGATATTTTCCACATTATCTACATTTCCTTCAAACACGTATAATTGCAATATTTCCTACAGCAAGCAAACGCAGCATACATATTGTTCGAACAAGAGGAAGCGCTTTAAAAAAAAACGTAATCGTCGGAGAATTTTACACATTCATCACTCCCTCTGATGTCATGTTTGATTAATCATATTTATGCAACTATGTATCACTTCCATGTCAGTTAAAATAACACTATATTCCATAAATAGTCCATTTTACTGCTGTAAAAACAAAAGGGAAGTTGGTTTCAGGGACATTACGCAATAGTCGTCAGAGAGAGAGAGAGAGAGAGAGAGAGAGAGAGAGAGAGAGAGAGAGA